GAGGGGGGGGAGGGGGATGCGATGGGGCAGGGTGATGGGTGCCAGGTGGGTGTAGGGCCATGGGAGCACCCATGGGTGCTGCTGAGCTGCTGCCAGCATGAGGCTGAGTCTTCCTGGCAAGGGAGGGGGGCAATGGCTGGGGGTCTGTGACACCCCCCCCACCTCCAGCATCCTGGGGGGGGGGCTGGAGCCCCAAACCTGGGGGTGGAAGGGACCCAGCTCCTTCCTGGTGGCTCCAACAGCTCGGGGGGCTTTACACCCCCGTGGTCGGGCTCTGGATCCTATCCTTTCCTGGGGGTGGGTGCCAGCACCAAGTGGTTTTATCCTGCATGCCCCCCCCTCCTGCCCCCCACGCTCATCTCCCTGCCCTGGTATTTTATGTCAGCATTTGATGAATGTTTTAAGGCCATTTGCCTTAAAAAGTGCCTCGATGGGGAGAAGCCAGAAGCGCCTTCTCCCACCTTAATGGCAAATTTAGGGGGCTCTGGTCTGTGGTGGAGAGGGGCACGGGGGTGCTCAGAGATGCTCTGGGGGGGTACCACCCTCCCCGAGGCTGGCAGGGAGGAGAGTATCCCTGTTATTCCTGATTTACACCACGGTGGGACACCCACCCGGGGTATAATTTCCTGCCCCCCCCTACCCCCCCCGGTGCTGAGCGACGCGGTCCCACTAATGGAAACCCGGCCACGCTCCTGCAATCACGGCTGCCTCTGCTGGGGGGGGCTAATGGATCGCCCTCCCCGAGCCCCTGAACGATGCATTTTTAATAAAAAATAGATTAAAATAATAAATAAAAACGGGGAAGCTCTCGGTGCCGCCAGCGAAGCGGGTAAAGCTGCTGCCCCCCCACCATAGGCGGTGCTGGGGGGGGTTCCCCCCAACTCCATGGGGAATGGGGCTGGAGGGGACCATCCCTGGGGCGTCAGGGCTGGGGCACCCCCAGCTTCATCGCCCCAGAGCCCTGTTTGACCCCCATGTGGGGAAACCACATTTCCTGGGATTCCCCTCACCCTCCCAACTGGGGGGGGAACACCCCATTTTTGAGATGTTGGGAGGAATCCGATGTGTTTTATCAAACGGGGGGGGGTGGTTGGATTTGGGGTGGGTTTTATGGTGGGTTTTTTTTTTTTGGATCTCGTCTAATTTATCAAACAAATTGAACCTAACGTCCAAATGAGAAATGAAAATGGGAAGTGCTCCTCGGCAATGAAATCATTTCGGCTGCCTCGCAAAGTGGGGGAGGCTCCGCGCCCGTAATGAAATTGCATCCATCTCCCCGCAGAAAAAGTCTGGATTTTTTTATGAACTGGCATTTCCAAAGGAAGCCACGTGGCCTCAGAGAGATGTGTATATATATATATATATATTTTATTTTTTTTTAACCAGGTCTATTATAGATGCTGTGAATAAACA